TTGGGTGAAGGTATTTTGTGCCGTGACTTCACCGAAAAAGGAATAACAATAGGGTAAAATCTATACTATGATAATAATAATAATTAATAATTAGATATCAAAATAAAAAATTTGAAAGGAATTTGAAAGAAAAAAAAATTTTCGTAATCTCATAAGTGAACATTCAAGTTGAAATCGAAAAATAATAATCGGAATGGGATCAAAGTTGATTTTGATACTAAGAGGGAAGGAGCGAAGTTTTAAAAATAGCATAAAATAAGCTGGAAAAATAAAGCAAAGTTAAGCAAACTATCTTTAATCTTTAATTTAATAACTATGTATATTTATTAATGTATCAAGAATTGGCAATGCTCACAATACTATTCATCAAATTCTGCATCATTCGTAACGTTATTATTAAAGTTTATACAAACTTAAAAAAAAGACATTTATTGTATATTATTTATTTATTTAATTATACGGACACAATATAATGGGGTTAGGATTGGTAATAGAACGTTTTGACACTAATGAAGACAATATAGAATTTAGATGTACAACTGAATGTTTTCCATCATCAACGAAGGCTGAGTTATTGGCCATGATAACACTAATAGCAGTGGCTCCCAAAAAATGCCAAATTAAAATACATTCAGACAGTCAAGCAGCAATTAATATCTTGAATAATATAATATACAACAATTTACAGAAAACCAAATAGGTCGAATAATAATATCATATTAACTCAAGTAACTCAACAAATCATAAAGGAGCTCGACTTAAAGATTACCTTGACAAAAGTATCTCATTCGGGTGTAGAACTTAATGAAATAGCAGATATATTGGCCAAGGTATCTAGTATTGCTCCACTACAAGATCCAAGAATTAAAGTGAATAGTGAAACAGTAGAACAATGGAGGGTAATTTCTACATGGAACAATTTGCCATTGGAATACTCAGTAAAAAAACCATTAAAAAACTCAACAACGAAATTTGGACGCAAAAATGGCTGCAACAAAATAGATCCAGATGGTGGATACAGACGAATAAAGCAAAAAATGTTAATTGGGAACTGACTTGGAAAACAGTACAGCCATCAGAAATCTCATCTTTCACTTCAAGTTTTGAAGAAGCCTCGCTACGGAAATTCGCCTTCAAACTGATGAATGATGAACTACCAACTTTATCAAACATTTTAAAGAGAAACCCCTTGTTATATAAAATTGAAAAGCGTCCATTTTACCAACTAGAAATTGAAAATAACATCCACGTATTCACATGTCCATCTCAAACTAATATAAATCCATTGGAGAACCTGAGGAAACAGTTCATAAAAATTATTGTCCAGCAAAAAAATGACATTTTAAAAGAAAATTTAAAACAATATACAGCTGATTTTGTGTTAAGAGATCAACATTTAATGGAATAAGATTATGTGAGTTTCTTAGACATTATTGCTGGTTTGGTTTCGAATACCATTGTAAAACTGATAAATGACACAACAGGTACTGTACATTAGATAAATCAAAATCAATTTTAATACGCAGTTTTCACAAATTTAAACAGTTGTTATACAAATTATGGAAGGAAAGATGTGATAAATTTGTCTATGGGAGAAAAGCCAAAACATCTCAAAAAAAGAGAAAAGAAAGGGGAATAAAAAACGAATAGTAAATGTGGCTTTAATACAAGATAATTCAGAAATGAGAATTTATGATGAACTGGAAACTGAACGAATAATTATGACTATTATATAAACCGTGGTACAGGTCTTAAGAAAAATTCACTCAACACAGCAATTTTTTATGCCCAGGAATGGTTATATCTGAAGTTTTTAAAGGGTACTAGTATAAAAGGGATTTCACAATATTTTAAAAACAACTGACAGAGCCTTGGCTAATTAGTTTCCTGGTCAATTCAGGCAACGATGGGCCGAGCCGTAAATTATTTTAATTTTAGCTAATTCCTTTATGTAATTAAATTGTTTTACAAATCGTATTTATTTTCAATAAAATAAACATTTTGGAGTGAGGCTCCGTTGGTTAAAAAAAAAGAAAAAAAATTATTTAATTGATACTACATTTTCTTGATAAATAAATAATATAATGTTTATAAATTATTTATTTAAACAATTTCGTATCAATTTTTATTATTCGATTTTTTGATCAAGAATGCTTAGTAATAAAAATAATTATAATAAATGGGTGGTCAACTAGATAACCAAAATTTTTTCTTGCACAAAATTTGGTTCATTTTACGAAAATCTAATGTACAAATTAATTGATTTCGTGATAATTAAATAAATTGAATGAATTTTTTTTGAAAATGAGTATATTGATTTTTATCGTTGCAGTTAATGACCAAATCTTGTTCATTCTATATATTGTCACGGTCTGTGCAGAACGATAGGGAAAGTTACGTCAATTAGTCTCAAATTTATTACACAACAAAAATATCTCTATCAATACTTTCACGTAGTAAGATCAGGCAATCAGTCGATCTAAACCTGCTTACTAACAATCACGATTTATATAGCTACGTGTAATATCTGAAGGTACTATGAGCAAGTGGAGTAAAAGTATCTTTATTACCGCATGCACACGACCAAAACTATTGTAGACTTTTGATGTAACTTGTCAAGAAATATAAAGAAATAATTTATTAAGTTTTATTAAAGTTTAGCTTAAGGATATAACAATAGCGATATATTACTGCTTTGGCGTATCTTATCACTTTGCCAATCCCGCGACTATATTATTTATTGTTATTATAATTAATACGAAAATAAAAGTAGATTTAGAACAAAAAAAAAACACTAAAATAAAATGTTCAAACTAAAACTAAATTGTTCGAAATATCAAGTAAAATATTTTTATTTTGGTTCTTGTTCTTTTTTGGTGAAAAAGTAATATCTTGTTTTCTTCCTTACCCACAGCTATTTTATATCTTAACATTTATTTACCTTCATCCTTCATCATCCATAATCACGGGGGATGTATAAACAGTTATCTTGGATGAAGGGTGTGCACAAGGGTAATTCATCCAAACAGTGACACATATCTTCTGTCATCTCCCGTGATTTCGATATACAAATTATTAAATTTTGCGATAATTATTGGAATTTGAATTTCAGCTAAAACGCCGGCTTATAAAAACTCCCACTGCAAGTTTAAAAAATTTAAATTTCGTATTAATTTTTTGATAAATAAATCATATAATCGGAGTTAACTATATCAAAATTAATTGTATATACACTCCAGCAAAAGTATTTGTGGAATAATAAAATTCGAAAAAATTAAAATGCTAATTGTCGCACAATGAGTGATCTAAATTGTACAAACTTTTTTTTATTAGATTCCCCTAAACTAGGACTATCATATGATATACTTTTTGATAAAGTCGAACACCTATACATAGAGATATTACGCTTCAAATGAAACTGACAAAAAAATAGTAAATTAATTGTTAGATCGTTACCTATACCGCATTCAATGGGTATTAAAGATAGATATCAACTATCTTATATGAAATTGTAATCAGAAGCAATATCTACAATTTTAATTATTAACGTTTTTCTCGGTACCTAATAAAAATTTTGACTTCACTTAGACGTGAATAAATTTATTTATTCATTTATTTTATAGACGTGAATAAAAACGACCGAAATTTAATAAAATTTTAAAAAAATAAAAAAAATTCGAAAATAATTATATCGATCGTTTATACCTGAAAAACTTGATTATTTATTAACTTAACGATAAATGTGGTATTAAGTCACCTTAAAGCCTAAAATATGGAGCATCTTTTGTAAAAATTTCAGCCTTATATATTGAGAATTGAGAGAACAATACATGATTAAACTTTAGAGAATAATTTTGAAATGTCCGATATTCAACCGTTAATATTAAACTCAATTCTCAATTTAAAAATCTGAATTTTGACAGTAGATACTCCATAGTTTAAATTTTAACTCTACTTTGTATTATTTTATTGTTATATTAATAGATAAGAAGTTTTTATATGTGGTTCCGATTGGCAATTATTTTTCAGATTTTTTTTTTAATTTTTTAAAAATGATCGGCACGGATTTACTACATTAACTTTTACTATTTTATTATTAAAAACAAAAGTTTGTAATTATTTTTGAATTTTTAAACTAAGTAACATAAGAATTGTTATATGATATTGAATTAAGATAAAAATTGAATACATCTGCTGTAAAAGTTTTAAAATTTTTTTAGCAAAAATTGAAAATATAACGATCGTTTGAATTTTAAAGAAATTTTTCGAAATCCGTGTCGATCATTTTTAAAAAAATTAAAAAAAAATCCGAAAAATAATTACCAATCGGAACCATATATAAAAACTTCTTTATCTATTAATACAACAATAAAAATGATATTAATTAGAGTTAAATTTTAAAATATAGAGTATCTACTGTTAATATTTCAGATTTTTAAATTGAGAATTGAGTTTAATATTAACAGTTGAATATCGGACATTTCAAAATTATGCTCTAAAGTCTAATCATGTATTGTCTCTCAATTCTCAATATATAAGGCTGAAATTTTTACAAAAGATGCTCCATATTTTAGGCTTTAAGGTGACTTAATACTACATTTATCGTTTAGTTAATAAATAATCAAGTTTTTCAGATATAAACGATCGATATAATTATTTTTTATTTTTTTAAAATTTATTCACGTCTAACTGAAGTCAAAATTTTTATTAGGTATCGAAAAAAATATCAATAATTAAAATTGTAGATATTGCTTCTGATTACGATTTCATATAAGATAGTTGATATCTATCTTTAATACCCATTGAATGCGTTATAGGTAACGATCTAACAATAAATTTATCAGTTTCATTTGAAGCGTAATATCTCTATGTATAGGCGTTCAATTTTATCAAAAAATATATCATATGATAGCCCTAGTTTAGGGGAATCTAATAAAAAAAAGTTTATACAATTTAGATCACTCATTGTGCGACAATTAGCATTTTAATTTTAGCAATTATTTTCGAATTTTATCATTCCACAAATACTTTTGCTAGGGGAGTGTAATATTATAATACGCCCTTTCCAGCAATATAAAAAAATATTAATAACAAAAATTAATTGGCATTACCCACCCAAATTTACTTATTTCGATTAAATAAGAATTCTTTTGTTTGGAAATCGCGTTAGATTATGTTTATTACAATGATAAGTAATTACATTGCCCTAAAAAATATTATTTATCCGTTTCAAGTTCGTTTTTTGACTCCCACGGTATCGTATTTATTTTATTTATTATTATATTTCCTTGACATATTTAAATTTCTATTTTATTGATTTTTTTTTAACTTTAAATACTTTGAATGCTTAAAAATGGTTCTGGAACATCTAGATAGATAATATTATATATAAAAATTTTATTTATGATTATGATAATAAAATTGTACTGTCAATCAGCCCAGCAATTTAGTATTTCTGGTCACACATATTTAAAATTCTTTAATTGCATAGATAATAATATTTACCATTTGATGATTGAAGAATGATATAAAAAATACAAGGGCATTACATTAATCAATACGTCTAAATGTAGCCAAAAATTGACTTCTTCCGAATTGTGTTGTCCGACAATACATTAAATAGATGAATATTATTTTATTATTAATTAAAAGGAATCATTTCATTTAGAACTCTTGTAGTTTTTTAATATGGTTTTTGATCATAATTGAATGCATATTTAGATCCCGTATTCCATCTATGAAAATTTAAATAAATCATTAATAAGCATTTTTATCAAATTTTATTTAAGGAATTCGGAATAAATCATGTTCGAACTTGAAATTTATCTACACAAAAATTTCTCCTTTATTTATAGCAATTTTCTAATCATCTAAAAAAAAATCATTCTAGTTTTCGATATGAATCTTCGTATAAAACAGATAGTAAAAAAGATAATCACGTTTTTTCTCCGAATATTATGTGAAATAGTAGAGTGCTCGAAACAAAACAAAAAAGTTATTAATTCTTTAGATATACACGCGTAAACCGCATCAGGAAATTTTACAAGGCGAAGGTTTGCGAAATATTTTTGAAACCTGCGGAATTTTGCGCAATATTTTTGTGCGTTTTTTTCCATTTTTTCGAATTCGCTCGCGATTTATTAGACAGAATGATTTCTACTAAGATGTTTCTTTGATAGATGGAACAGCTTTGTTCTCGGATATAAAATGGTATGTGTTTGATCCCCATAGCATCGATATTCACGAAGTTATTCCGATTTAAAGAAAATGTCCGTGGAGTTTTTCGCACGATTTTACACGGACGTTTTTGATTAAATCGGAATAACTCCGTAAATATAGATTCTACGTGAATCAAATACATACTATTTTGTAGCCAAGAACAAGGCTGTTCTATCTATCATAGAAATATCTTGTAGAAAATCACTCTGTATCTCGGAAATTGCGAGCGAAGTCAAGAAATGGAAAAAACGCACAAAATATTGCGCAAATTTTCGCCTAGTAAAATTTCCTGATGCGCTAATAACAGATCTTGTGTAAGATCAAAGTAATAAAATAAATACCGCGATTATAGTAGTCAAGTAAAAACAATAAAAAAATAATTTAAAAATTTTTAATATATTGTAATACATAGAGTTCCTTTATTTATATATAAAAGGAATTTCATATAACAGTAAAAACGCACGGAAAAACTTGTGCATCTATAAATTATTTTTTCCGTTATTACGTTGACGATTAACTTTTTTATTCTACTTTGGATTTTTATTTATTTTTTTTCCAACCAATCAGTCATTTATAATGAACTCCCTCTAATTTCATTATATTTTCGATTAATGCAAAATTTTTCCTTTCGTACAAATCATGCATGATTTTTCAAACATCCTTTGGCCAATTCTAATTTCGGACTATTAAATTAAATGGTAAATGGAAATTAAGTCCGATATCTATTTTGAAAAAGAGAATCGGGAAATTCTGAATAAAAAGAGCTACAACGCAATTCATATTGCAATCTAGCTGATAAAATTTATTAAGTTATATAATGCAACAAAAGTTATAGGTTAAGACCGCTTTGTGTGTTCATGATATTTAATTTAAAAGCAATCTTGGAGTGCTCAACTTCAATTTTCAAAAATGATTTTTTTCTTTTAAAGGTTTTTATTTTCTGTTTTGATCTATATAAGTTGTAAAAAAAGTGTATGACGAGTGGGAAAATTTTTTTAAACAGCGGAGACACTTCAAAATGCTTTCGTTATTTGTAACTAGTCTAGTTATTTCGTATGGAAGCCAATTACACAAAAAATGTCTGTTAAGACTAAAAATAATCTAATTTACCATTCAGCACGGTCCATCGTTGTCTAATTACCTAGGAAACTTAACAACGACGACTCGTATTAAAAAATTTGGAAAATCCCTACCTTACATGATAACCAGGTCAAAAAACAAAGAGTTCGGGATGTGTAATAAAAGAAATTAGAATCATAAGACCCCAAAATTTAGAAAATATTTTAAATTAAATCTACTGGTTTATTCCGAAACCATTCTTTATAGGATGCGTTCTACCATATTAAGATATATGTGAAATTTTTATTTTTATTTTTTTTTGCAAGAATTAATCATCTTCATTTTGGGTGTTATAACCATCAAAAAAAAAAAAATTCCAAATCATATCTAATATTTTTAGTACGAACCCGTTTTTTTTTTGATGAATTTAAGTAATTAAAGTAAGCATGAATTTGAATTTTAGGATTGGTTAAAGAATTTAGAAATATTTAAAAAATAAAATTAATTGAATAAAACTATTAAACAAATTTCTCGTTGTACTATTTGTAATATTGAACTTTGTCTTCCTCTATGTCATTAATAAAAAGACATACAGTATTTGTCCCTTATAACTGTAACAATAAAATTGTTTTCCAACTAAATATGCATTAAATATATTAAATATAAATATGCATTAAATATTTTGTTTTTTTTTTCTCAACACGTGTGAGTTTAGAATGATTTTTTATTTTTTGGCGTAGTGTTTATTTTTATTGAAACAAAAAATATTTACACAAATTTTTGGTGAAATGCGTTCATGCATAATTTATGTCCGAAATTGGGTCGTGGTGTAATTAAAGATCACAATTATTACAACATCACGCAACACCGAATTTTTACCCAGTATGGCAATAAAGCGGACTTTGAGAAAAAAAAATACCGATGCACATTCATCATCTCCTTATTCCTTACCATTCATAGTTTGATTTTTTTTTTTTTGAAAATCAACTCAATTTTTTTTCGTTATAAATTCAAAACCCGTCGGCCTTCATGATTTGATATCATTAATAAATAAAAAAAAATGACTGAATCAACTGAATCAATGACATTTACAGTTAATAATGATAACAATAATGATAATAATTATATTACAAAGGTTAATCCTTCTATCGAATCTACGATAGCGGTTTCAGTTAATAATGATAATAGTAATGATAATAATTCGGTTACAAAATTTAATCCTTCTATCGAATCTACGATAGAGGTTTCAGTTAATAATGTTGGATCCAAAAACCAAGAAACCATTCAAAACTATCGTTCCTACATTACTCAAGTTACGGATTTATTATTTGAAAATCCAATTTTAGGTGAACTCGAAGCGCAAAACGAAAAAATTCAAAAACAAAAAGAAAAACTCGAAAGTCATGATTCAAAAATGGAAAAATATGATACGGTAATTGAGAAACAAACTCAAAAGATAGAGGAAAATCATTCGGAAATTGAAAAGCATAAAATTGAAATCGAAAAAATCGAAAAGCAAAATGAGGAAATAATGAATCAACATCAAGAACAAAAGTCAGAAATCGATAAACTCATTTCGAAGGTTAATTTAGAACTTGCGGATCAAACGCAAACGATTGAAGATTTTGTTTCACAACTTGAAAATCACAAATCAGAAACGGAGAGGCACAATTCGGAAATTGATAGACACAATTCCGAAATTGCTCAACACGATCAAAAATTGAATGAACTTTTCAACTTTAAAACAAAATTTGTCGAAACCAATTCCAATATAAAACGTGATGAAGTAATTCATCGTGAAGAATTTGAAGAATTGAAAGCGAATGAAGATGCAGAAAGTAATTCAACTAAATTAGAGCCTACTGATGTTGCAGCATTATTGAGTAGTAATAGTGATTTGGAAGAAAACATTGAAAACAATAATAATAATAATAAAAATAATAATTCTAATATTAAATACCTTCAGAACCAGGATAGTATGAACTTTACAGAAAATAAGGAAAATAACTATTATAAAATTCAAATCAAACATCAAAAAGACTTCGAAGAACTCAATAATAAAATTGAAAATATAATATCAGATTTATTATTAAAAACAAAAGAATTAAATAGTCAGAGAAAAGATATAAATAATTTGACGGAAGAGAATGTGAAATTACGAAAAGAGAATATTGAATTTAGAAGTGTGTTGGAATCATTGTCTTCTTGGTCTATGAAGAGTACACCTCAAAAACCCGAACAACTCCAACAACAACAATTATTAGAACAATCACAACAATTATCACAAACTATAACCAACCAAATTCCGCGACAACTACCTAATCAACCTCAAATACAATATCAACAACAATTACAACAACGACAACAACCACCGTTACCACATCAACAACAACAAATGTCGTTACAAAATCAACAACCACTGTTAAATCAGCAACAACGAACGTTGCAACAACAACAATCACTTCAGCATCAACAATTGTTACAACAACGATTGCTGCAACAACAACAACAACCACAATTATTACTTCATCAACCATTGTCACCACAAAATCCACAACAACAATTAAATTTGCAACAGCAATCATTACAACAACAACAACAAATATTACAGCAGCAACAATTGTTATGGAAATTTCAACCTCACTTACGATTACAATCGCAAACACCACAAAGACAACTTTCACTATCCAAAATTAAACTCACCAAACTTTATGATAATTTGGAAGATGGTAAAAATATATTAAATTTAATTTTATTACGTTATTTCAAAAAAAAAAAAAATTTTTTTCGCAAAATTATTAATTCAATTTTATTTTTATTTTCATTTTTTATTTATTTTAAGATCTTGATGAAGAATCAGAAAACTACAAACCAATTCCTCCTATTCCGATTGCTCAAACTCAATCAAAAGAACTTCCACAAGTTCCACAAGTTCCACAAGAAATTCGGAATAATCAAGAAGCTTGGAATAATCAAGAATATGAGAATAATCAAGAAAATCAATATATTCAAAATAATCAAGATAATAATAATATAATTTTAGTTGGTAGAAATATTCCCGTTGAAACGAAAGTTAATTATTTTATTGGTGACAATAGTGATTCAACAAATGAAGTAAATTCTGGATTCTCTGTTAACAATGTTAACGTTAATAACGATAACGTTAATAATGTTAATAATGTTAATGTTAATAACGATAATGTTAATTATGTTAATAATGTTAATGTAAATAATATTAATGATTCATCTTGGTCAGATTCTACTCAAAATTTATATCAAAATCCCCCTTCGAATCCTCAGACAAATTTACAACAAAATAATTTACCGCCACCGCTGTCACAAGACCTTACTCATATTAGAGAAAATTCTTTAAATTCTATTGATGAAAATTCTATTCCTTCCAATCTTCATTATCGATCAAACACTCAATATAATTCTTCTTCTCGACCCACCACGAGATCATCACAATCCCTGTCATTAAGAGATCCAAAGAAAATTTCACAAATTCCTGCTTCTTTGATTTCTCAAAATTATATTAATTCTTCGAATCAAAAAAATGGATATCCAGCAGCTTCGGTTAATAATTTTACAAATCCTCAAGTTACAAATGAACAAACATTTAATGATCATAATTCAACCAGAATTGATCAATCAACTCCTCATGATACACAATCAATTTCGTCAAATTCCATTAATAATTCAACTCAAATTCCTCTTTCAAATCGAGATTCATTAAATCCAAATTCATCTACCACTTCACAATTTACTTTACAAGATCAAAATGATCAAGAATCCGCCATATCATTGGCTTCTAATAATAATAATATTATTAATATTATTAATGGTAATATTAATAATGGTAATATTAATAATGGTAATATTAATAATGATGATTCGTCTTCGAATTTTAAAGATGAAAATAAATTAATGAATGGTGAAACTTCAGATGTTAATTATGGCGGCGATGATCTAAATCATTCGAATCATCTAAATAATTTAAATAATTTAAATAATCAAAATAATCAAATTCCTTCATACGACAGTAACAACAATCATATTTACAACAACAAAAGCAACAATAATAATCAAGTTTCCAATATTGATGCACCGACGGAAACTTATCAACAACAACAACAGCAGCAGCAGCAGCTGTACTATCAACAACAACAACTATTACAACAACAACAGCAGCAGCAGCAGCAGCTGTACTATCAACAACAACAGCAGCAGCAGCAGAAGCAGCAGCATTATCAACAACAACAACAACAACCACAACAACAACAACAACAACAACAGCTACAACAACAACATCATACTGGTATGATATCTTCGGAAATAAAGAATAAATTTAATTCATTTACTAAAAAATTTCGAAAATAGAAACATTACATTTTTATCATTAAATTATTATTATTATTTATTATGTCATTTTATTTATCTCTTATCTATCATTGTTTTTCAAGCATGAATATAATTCTACTATTACTATTACTACTATGCTATGTACGTTTTGTATCATCCAATAATTTATATTCAATTCCATTCAATAAAGTTCCATAAAAAACAGGTTGTCAATAAATTATGAAAAAAAGATGTCGGAAATTGATTTTGTCATTTTTCTTTGAATTTTCCAGATAGCATTCATCCCAATACATGTACGAAAGAAAATATTTTAAAAATGTATTATTTAATTTTATTGTTTTCTTTTGCAACTAAAAATAAAAATATTATTCTCGTCTCATTCGCGAATCCATCATTTAACCTTTGATCTGAAATATATATATTTTTTTTTCAAATGGAATTTTTCATTCTTGGGCAAGAAAGTAGTTATATGGATGGAAATATTTGTACGATTCTCATAAGATCCTCTTTTATCGTAAATTTTTATTTGTACTTTTTTCTTTATAATACTAAAATTGATCAGAAAATTTCTTCAGACAAATTACCACTTTATTATTACAGTACTTCGCTTCGTTGTAAGGCCCTCGATATTGTTCCTACCCTACAGTATATTTTGATTTTTTAAATATAAATAATGAACGTGTATCATTCCTTGTGTATATAAAATAATAACACGTATAAATAATGCAGATCAGTATTACATAATTTTTAATTATACATATTTCTAATTTTAGAGTTCCATAATGCAATCAGAATTTCCGTAAAATCAGTATTACATATGCACCTTAATTTTAATTATATTTTATTTCCAATTATAGGGGATGTCTAAAGCAGCGTCCATCATATGATTACCAGAAATTAATTAATATTATATGAAGGGCCGGGTTTAAGTAAATATTATATGTAAAATTGCCTCCCCGACATTTTATTAATGCACCAAGATATATTTAGAATCTGTTTCTTGTATTTTTCACTTTTTTTCTGATCTGTACATGTATAAACAAAAAATTCACAATTTTGATCACCACTTTAGACGACCCCTTATATAGAAATGAAGAGAGATTTCTGAGTTAATAATAGAAAATTTTAAACAGATCAGATTGTAACTTATATACAGTGAGGAACAAAAAAATCGGAATCAAAAAATCAATAACATTTTGATGTATTTTAAAGCTGAATAAAAATTAATATGAAATATGTTCGCTATTGTTTTAAATAATTAATTTACAATGACACTTCATTGATTTTGCAAGATTTACTAGAATGGTTTTTGGAATATTCTGTCATTCTTCTATTCCTATCTGGATATTTGATTGCCATTCTAAAATCATCAGGGAAGTTTTCTTGGAAATAGGCTTTAGCCAGATGACTTGTTTACTTCAGATCATTGTCTTGCTGAAAGCGCTAGTTACGACCAAGCATCCCAACCATCTCAGGTTTATGTGCATGCAATATTTACACATAAAATTCTGCATTCATTATTTGCTTGAATAAAATAAACTTGTTTTTCTTTTCATACAAGAATCACCCCAAACTAATTTTTGTATGATCTTTAGGCATTAGACGAACTGGCCATTCCCCTTTATACCAATGTTCTACAGTATTTTTAAAAAGTTGAAAGGCTGTTTCTTCAATAAATAATAATGTATTGTACCATTGGTCATTAACTTATTTTCATGCTACTCTATACACTTTTGTTTATGTGTGTTGTTACTAGTCGACCTTTTGGGCTAATTTTATTTTCCAAAAGGCAATTTACAACTAGCAACTCGTAAACAGTTACTT